TCAAAGGTTGAAGAAAGGGAGCAAAAATAAGGGAGCTTATATAGGAGAGGTAATAGTGAATGCCAAAACCAGCAAGACAAAATAACAAACACATTGACAGCACTTAGCAAATCCACGTTGGGGAAACGATATAATAACAACACCATAGAGCTGGATTTTGGTATCAAATGAATCAACCTACACCGTCTAGATTCAGTTTGACTCATTGAGTGGAGGAAAAAGATCTCTTCCACAGCTAGGCACCTATAATAGGCACCTTCCTATTCCTAGATAATTCAAAAAATAACTGTTGAATATTTCAAAGGATTTACCTTCACTCTGAGTCCAAATCCTCTGAAGCTTTACCTTAAAAAGTCACCACACAGAGCTTGTGTGTTCAAAATGTTCACCATTGAGCCAAAGTGCTCGAGTCTCACCACTGTCCAATAGAACTCGGAATGAAAAACACCTCACTAAGTCGTGTATTTAGATCTCGTAGTCCCCCTTTGCAAAAAATTGTTCGCCATAGCATTTAGTCACTGATGTGAGATGCCTCTTCAATACAAGAAAATTTAATAAAATTCATATGGTCGAATAGGTCACAACAGCACAAACAAGGGTTTTCTTGATTATTGACCACATAGGTCACAAGCATAAAAAACACATGGCACGAGCTTTCATGAACCCATAAACACAAGTATTGAGAGTCATGGTGATACCATGTGTCACAGCTTGTGGTATCACCATCCAACATGAAGTTCTATACCTGCAGAAAATAGTTACAAAATGTATTGCAGAAACACAGACTATCCAATCCTTCATCATCTGGGTCATCTTAAACTTATAATTCATCATCATCAATGCACACTATAATTTCTCTAACGGTGAGGCTATTCCCACCCCACTAATAAATAAGTTCACGTCATTCTATACCCCACCCCATTAATAATAAAACTTAACTAAATCTTCACCGTTTAAGATTTCTTTCAATATCCATCTCACACGGTCTAGACAAAAAATATACTCAATTGGATTCTACTCTAGATTTCTCACATGCAAATTACTTCAACTGTCGTTGTTCGATTTCTACCTTCTCCGATCTCATCATCGGAATAATACTTCGATTCCACTATGCACTTCTCTTTCTTCCTTTTTTAATAAAAGATATTCTTCTCACTTTATTTCTCAATATATAAAAAGAAAATTTCTTGAAAGGAAACAAAAAGATCATCAAGTCCACACAATCTACACATAATTGTTTGTTCAGTTTTAATAGATAATTTAGTTGAATATACAATGGGGTGGAACTCTAAAAGTAAAGATTAAAATAAATTTAGTTATTAATGGGATAAATATAGAATGAGATGAACTTAGTTATTAGTAAAGTGAGTATAGATGAAGTGAACTTAATAAATTTATTATTTATAATTTAATGGGGTTGAAATAGAGATTTGTGGAGTAAGAATAGTCCCACCCTTTTTCTAATTCATTCCAACCATCACTAATCACAAGCCCCAAAACACCATGAACAGCAATTAGTGTATATGCCTTAGGAACTGCTCTGAAGTCTATACACCAAGTTTCATGCATCAACAACCTCACATTTCATGACCAAACAAGACACAACCTCACAGCCCGACTTGCAGCACCTTTGCAAGAGCACATTGCCCAGCAACAAACTTGGACTCGGGCTACGACCAAGTCTTTCATTGCATTACAAATGCATAACAGCTGTTCAAGGCAGAAATACATTGGATAAAATGCAAAAGCACAATACTAACTACTAACCAACATATATAGCAAGATCGATGAAACAAACTTCGCCCAAATTAATGGGATGGGAAAATACTCAATTAACACTACAACATGAAGAAAATCTAGACGATATATCAAGGGGTACAGGACTGCCTGGGTACTCCTCAAAAGCACCTAGTCAATCCAACAAACATGGCCAATCAGTTGATGCAACTAAGTAACAAAATGGCAGCAGACCATTATCACCTCACTTTATACAAACTTCAAATGATATAGAAACAAGTGTATCGACGCATCATCGATATAGCTCAAAACCCTGTATCCATATGCAAGTATTATTTCCCACATAATTTGATATATCAAAGATGAAGCCATGCCCTCCTCAAACAAGGTAAGGGTGGCATCCTTTTTCAGGGTCAGGAGAAAGTAAATTTACTTATAAAGTTGCCTGGTTTGTGAAGATTTGTGCACAAAAAAAGCTATTCAAACTACATAAATAACAACATTTTGTATTAAGTTATTTTGAATAATAGCTTTGAAACTTTGGAAGGTTAGCCCAGAAAAATTTCAAATGAGTATCAAATTCATTCTTGAAAATCCAATCATCATTTCTTTCTCCAATTTCTCTTTCTGAGAACAAATGAAAGCCATTCTTTTGGTCTCTAAAACTCTCCTTTTAGTTAAATTACCACCATTCTCTCCATCGTATCAAATCCTAACCATTCACTCTAAATTCCTTCAAAAAAAATCTATCTATCCCTAAACATTGTCAACATCAAAATTAAAATTCCATAGTTTCATCTTTACAATAATTCCAATTAAGAAGATGCTGCAAGAAAATGTATTATCTATTCGAGAAAAATATGATTTTGAATCGTATTGTTGAGCTTGATAGGTTGGACGCCTTGGGTGATTTAAATGATCAATTCAGAAATGAGAGATCAAAATTTAAGAATATGTTTGAGGTGATTTTTAAGGAAGAAATAAGTTGGAGGCAAAAGGCAAAGGTTACTTAGGTTAAGGAGGAGGATAATAATTCTAAGCTTTTCCATAGAGTGGTTAATGGTAGAAGAAAGAAAAAATTGATAAGCAAACTTGAAATTGCTAATGGCATAGTGATTGAGGATGTGAATGGTGTGGTGAATATGAATACCAATGCTACTTTCATATGTTTAATTTCTAAAAAGCAAAATTCTTTGAAAATAGGTGATTTTAGACCAATTAGTCTAATCACAAGTATGTATAAGATTCTAGCAAAGGTGTTGTTAATAAGATTGAGCGGGATTCTGGAGGATACTATTTCTAGAAGTCAGATTGCTTTTGTAACGGGGAGACAAATTTTGGATAGTGTCTTGATGACTAATGAAGTGATTGAGGAGTATTGGATGAACAGTAAACAAAGATCAAAATTTTGTTTCGATGAATTGTTTCGGTTACCTAAGAAATGAAAAAGTTTCAACTCGTTTCGAAAATAGAATGACAAAAATAAAAAATTTAAAAATTATTTTTTCAAAATATACCAAAATATCTTAAAACATTCTGAAATAATTGTGCAAATGCATTGAAATATAACCAAATATTTCAAAACATTATGGAACAATCTCAAAATATTAAAATTTTAATTTCATCACTGATTCGTTTCGATCTCCTTGAAAACGGAAACATTTCGGATGTTATGACTGTTTCAAAACAATATTTTGATCCTGGACGGTAAGGAAGGGATTGTGTTTACAAATGACTTCGAAAAAGTATATTATCATGTGAATTGAGGAGTCTTTGATTTCATCTTAGAGGTGAGAAGTTTTGGGAATAGGTGGAAAAGATGGATTAAGGGATATTTTTCTTTCATCAATTTTTCGATGTCACTAAATGGCAAATCAAGGGGATGGTTTAATGCATCAAGAGAGTTGAAGCAAAGGGGTCCACTCCCTCCATTTCTTTTCACTTTGGTGGTGGATGATTGAGTAGATTGGTGGAAAGGGGTGTGGTGCATAATTTAGTAAAAAGTTTTTAGTGGGCAAGGATAGGGTTGGTGTATCTTATCTCCAATTTGCCAATGATACCATATTTTTCTTGTTGAGGATGAGCTTAAGTTTCAGAATCTTGTGAATATTGTTAGGATGATACCATATTTTTCACGACTATTTAGATTATCAGGGTTTTGCAATTTTTCGGTGTCTGCAATGTGTATCTCTACTTTGTCTTCCTCTAGGCTGTGGAATTTGAATTTCTTTTGTAACCTTAGTAATCGAAATATTTTGAAGTGTTCTTCCCTTATCTCATTACTTGATTTGGTCTCTTTAGATCCTTTGATTAGCGATAAAAAGTCTTGGTCTTTTGAGTCTTCGGGAAATTTTGTTGTTCCTATTTCCGGTGGTTGGTTAATGATTTAGTTGACTCCATTTTTGAACCTCACTAAATGATTTGGAAGGCAAGAGTGAGCTTGAAGGTGCAGGTGCTTGCTTGGATAGTATCTCATGATAAGGTAAATACTTGTGATGTGTTGTAAAAGAAAAGACCTAACAATTGTATTTCTTTTCATTGGTGGGTCTTGTGAAGAAAACTGGTGAAAGTGTGAATCATTTGTTTCTTCATTGCCCCAAAGCTTATTTCTTATGGCATAAGTTGTTCCAAGTGGCAGATTTAGTGTGGGTGACACCTCCTACTTGTGCATCTCTATTGGTGGCGTGTTTTGATGGTTTTATAAAAGGTAAGAAAGCTTCCATTTTGTGGGGAATGTGCTACTTTGGCCAACAGTTGGGTGTTGTGGATTGAAAAGAGTAGTAGAATTTTTTAAGATGAGGAGGATAAAGACTTATTATAGGAGTTTTTGGCTTCTTTTTGGGCCGTGGTTACTAATGAGTTTTGTGTCACCCCTTTATTAGTTCTACAACATAACTTATTTGTAGCTCTTAATTGTTTTGTTTTGGTTTTTTTTTTTTTTTTGATCTTGTAAGTGGATTTCTTATCCATTATTTTTGAACACTTTCTTTTTTATGGCATGAAATTTGTGTTTTCCTACCCAAAAATAAAATAAAAATTGAACTAATCTGACACAAACCCAAATGTGTATTCACTCCACTATCTTTGATCACAATCAACACTAACTAAACCATCATCTAGCAACAAAAAATCTACCACAACTTCGGGTGCCAATGTGAGACACCACAATTTTTATCAATCCGACTCTCCCTCTATCTCCCGTTCTCACTATACAAACTATGTACAGTATTATCCAGTACTGAACTACTTGCCTGGGGATGGAAGGATTACTCTGGTAATAGCTAACATCAAGCGGGAAAAAGTTATTTCCAAAGAAACAACACCAAGACAATGGCGCTTGATTGTCTAGAGCACAAATGCGTAATTGCCTGCACCAATAGTGTATCATATCCCCTAAACTATTTTTAGGAATCCAAACACCACAGGTTCGCAAACAACCACAATAAAAACTAGCATTCCAATTTAAGCTAAACAATTAAAAAAAACTCAAACAATGAAATGGAAACAACGATCCAAAACAGATTACGAGATGTCACCCAAACTCTAATGCCATTCGCACATTTTCCCAATTTCCTCCACGTCTTCTCGTTAAGCTCATACAAAACATTTGGAACAAATTTAAATCAAATCTATATTAAAGTAAGAACTTTCTCACATTAGTCCCATTATCTCAGTCCTGAGGAATCTCAACATCTCCATCAGCAATTTCCTGCTGCAAATCCTTAGGGTTCTTCCCATCGACCGTACACCCAACTGAGACGCATGTCCCGAGAATCTCCTTCACAGTCCCAGCCAAATCCTTAGCCATCGACCTCGGCCTCATGATCTTCGCGATCTCGATCACGTCATCAAGTGAGATGTTGCCAGTGTGCTTGATGTTCTTGGTCTTCTTGCGGTCCCGCTCGGGCTCTTTGAGTGCCTTGATGACCAGAGCCGCGGCGGATGGAACGACGGAGACTTTCGCTTGTCGGTTCTGTACTGTGAGCTTGACAGTGACTCGGAGACCCTTCCAGTCCTTGGCTGTCTCTTTGGCTATGTCTTCTCCGATTTTCTTGGGTGAGAGACCTAGTGGACCGATTTTTGGGGCGAGTGAGCTTGCTGCTCCGACTTCGCCGCCGGTGACTCGCACGTACACGTCGACGACCTGTGAGGGATCGAATTTCGGCGGCATTTTGGCAGGAACGCAGAGGAAACTAGGGTTTGTGTAGAGACAGAGAAAGAAATGAAGGGAAGAAATGAGGATTATAAACTAGGGTTTTGTAGAGCTTGATATGGAAAGGTCCGGTCTACCCCTATTGGGTTTGGTCTTGATCTTGGGCTTCCAATTGGTATCATTTGAATTTGGGTTCTTGGCTGCGCCCACTGAGGTTTGGGTCTTATAAAGAACGCTATGGGCTACAAAAACCATACTACATAGAAATCCAAGCCTTGGAGGCCATCATGTAGTGTCCAGTCCATGGCCACGAAAACCTTAGCAACATTATTCTCTAGAGGAATACAATGTCATGAAAAATATTGTCCTATCAACCTCTTCTTCGAAGGGATACTACATCTTAAGGTCTTAATTTCGAGTTTGGTAAAAGATTCGGAATCACTCGGTGTCCGCAATTTTTTTTTTGGTACATTGGAGGTTAAATAAAAAATTACAGTGAGTTTCTAGTAAATGCAAATACTAGTCGAGTCAGTCTCATGGCTGATTACAATCTGTTGTGGAGGAGAATCAAGTTTCACAAAAGGCTCCACCTGTTGCACTCTTGGATTTGTCAATGTATCTACACATTGGTTTCCTTCTCTAAGTGTATGATTATCTATCATAGAGAGAGAGGGGGGCTGATATAGACATAATTCTCTTTTTTTGTGTAAACTTTTCTCGAAGTTTCACGCTCGAGAATTTTGTATTATTTTATGTANGGGGGGCTGATATAGACATAATTCTCTTTTTTTGTGTAAACTTTTCTCGAAGTTTCACGCTCGAGAATTTTGTATTATTTTATGTACATGGCATGTGGGTGAATACGTGCATCTACCTACGAGGTGATTCTCATTCATTAGTGAACTAATGTAGCAATTATCATTGTCTCATGCACAATGTGACTTCCCTTATGAATTGATCTTGAAGTTTTCACTTGGAGATCTTTTGTTCTCCTCTTATTATCTAATTATACATTTCCTCCTGTAAAAGAGGGGGAAAGGCCAATCATAGTGGGCGTTGAGGGTCTGAAACTATCTTCATATATCTACATATTTCACCATTGTCTAGTTCTCGGGGAACCATTACATTGGACTGTGTCAAAGAAGTACAAAGCACACTGAATTAGGACCTCAATGTTCTAAAATTGCTTGGCTTTGGGTGCTATGACATAAGAGTTGGATAATGTAAAGTTACGGGGAAGAGCATCGAGTGTAATAAACTCAACCGTTAATTTCCCATTCAAACCGCCACGTTTCCTTATCTATTAACTAAAGCACTTTGGGCTTGTTTAGTTGTCAATGTAAAAGAATGAATTGTNCATTCAAACCGCCACGTTTCCTTATCTATTAACTAAAGCACTTTGGGCTTGTTTAATTGTCAATGTAAAAGAATGAATTGTATTATTTTATTTTTTTTGATAAGCAAGAAAAAGGGTAATTGTGTCTGGTACATCTCTTAGGAAANATGAATTGTATTATTTTATTTTTTTTGATAAGCAAGAAAAAGGGTAATTGTGTCTGGTACATCTCTTAGGAAAGAATCTAACTAGACTAGTATAAAAGTCAACCATCAAACTTCAATGTAAACTTTAAGACTCGAACCTCCAACTTTAAGGTGAGAAATTCAGGCGGTACTCCACTGAACTATCTCACTTAATGGTAAAAGAATGAATTGTATTAATTAATATAGATTAATTTCGTATAAGTGAATAAAATACAACATTAAATATAAGATAAAAATATTACATAGTGTAATCCTTAGTAAAATAATGGATTAAGAGTGGGATAATAAGGTAACAAATTTATATTTACTGAAAAATCATCAATCCTGTCTACTTATTAATGTTTTTCTTTATTTGTTAGATAAAATAGTAATTTTATAACTTAATACGTTTGAATTGGACTATAATACTATTTTTTGAAGTGGTATTATAATCGGTTCAATAGTACAAATACAGTATATTATTTGAATATATATTTAAAATAAGATTATATAATATATAGTAACCAAATACGATATAAGATTAGATTAGAGAGTTTTAATGTATTATTGACTCTATAATCCATCATTTAATACTGCAATGCAACTAAACGGCCCTATACTAATGTAAAGTCTAATAAACAATTTATTTTTTTCGATTAACCACCGACTCAGTGTGAACTTATACTAATGCAGCTTCNATTGACTCTATAATCCATCATTTAATACTGCAATGCAACTAAACGGCCCTATAAATAAGAACAACCTCAATCACAATACTAATACTAATGCAGCTCCTTGACTTATACTAATGCAGCTCCTTGACTTACAAATTATTCTCCAATTTGTATCAAACTCTCATTCATTCACAAAGACAAAAAATAAAAATAAAATAACTTCAACAAGGACTTTTCGTGCAAAATGCTCTCCGTTTATAAAAAAATATTTGTTGCAATAGTGATATTATTTCAGTATTGCCTAATATCACCAATCAATAATATGTAGACAAATAAGAAAATAGACCTCATACAAGTCAAAAACTATCCGTCAATGCAAAAAGATAACTACTCACTCTTATTTCATGCAAGTCAATAACTATTTAAGTAAGATTCACTTTACCTACTTAGAGTTTTATTATTGGTTGATAATATCATGTCATCAATACTGACATAGTATTACTGTTCTATTGAATATTCTCTCGTTTTTTCTTTTTTTTTGCAAAAGGCCACCTTAGCCACAAATTACTGTGGTTTGCTTCGCCAATTTAGCTGGATTTTATTTGACAATTCCACTCATAATTTAAAGTTGATTTTGCTTTCTCTTTTTTTATTTTGGGCGGCCACTCTCACTATTTTCTTGATTATTAAAAAAGTAAAAGCTTGTATAGAGAGAGATTCCATGCAATACTTAAGGCATACTTATAGAGAGAGATAGAGAGAGATTCCATGCAATACTTAAGGCATACTTATAAGAACATGGTGGATAGTATTGTTTTACTGGTGGGTTGTTTAAGAATCAGGTGACACATTAAACCTTACGTTAATATCAGAGCTTCACATTGGGTAGTCACATGGGATTCAAATTCACTCCATGCAGTTTTTCTTGATTTTCATTGTTATTATTAGTCATTCATCATGATCTTAAGTGAGACATAATATATCTAAATGGATTTTTCATTAAAACATGATGGGTGATAGGAAAATCGGGAACCAATCACACGCCTTTAATCAAACATCGCAAAAACTAGTTTAAAATTATATTAATATTTATTTTTTTTTATCCAACCACACTTTAGGGCCGACCCAATTATTAAGTCAAAAAAAAGTACGATTTTTAGGCCTCGATTTTAAAGAAGACCTCTTAACTTATAAGTGTGTATAGTAATAGTGCAAACAAAAAAATTGAATACATAAGAAATAGGATCCACAAAAAACACAGATTTAAGTCGTACAAAAGATTTCATCTTGAGGAGATTGAGTCTATTAATTCAGCACATGAAATTAAAAGACCGTAAAATTTAATTTTTTCTAAAAAAAAGTGAAAAAACTAACAATAAAACTAAAGATACTAAAAACTAAAAAGTGAAATGCCTCATTTATCGTTTTAGATTTAGGCCTCAAAATGTTTCGGAGTGCCCTTAATCAAACAGCGCAAAAAATTAGTTAAAAAAATATTAATATTTAATTTTTTTTTATCAACCACACACCCTAAAACAAAAAAAAACTAGTTTAAAAGTACCTTAATATTTAATTTTTGCTTAGCATACCAAGAAATTTGAGTGATCAAGTGTAGCTGGATTAGAGGATACCAAGAAATTTGAGGATACAATGCACAAATAACCAAACAAATGTGTCGAAAGTGTCGTACATAAGCTATGGATTTACCCTCCAAATGGCAAACAGTTTCGACACATTACCAAACTTTTATACTTTTTCGCAGTTGGCAAAACAGATATGATCGGACCGGGATAAAAAACAGTAACGAGTTATAAAATTAGATATTTAGAATTTAAATTTTGATATTTTTTTTGGGTCAGATCATGAGGAATTATCTTAATTTTAGTGTGAATGACCCATTTGTAATTGAATAATAGACGAAATTAGTCGATATAAGTATAAGTTGACTCGAACACTTTAAACAGAGTGATACAAATAAATAACTATTTTATTTATCATTCTATTTTTAATTGGTGATTTGTTTGTTAATAATGAGAAATCAGAGCAGTGTCTTTGTAGTCAAGTTAGCAATATCTTATGCTTTAACACCCTGTATTAGCTGTCAGCCCCATGTCTAGAGCTTTGAAGGAGCCGTTAGGCACATGGATTGAGGATTCTTATTACACTTGGAAGGTGAAAAGAATTTACTGCTCTTTGCTGCCTCATTTTGAAATGGCATTGGTAATTACCTATTTTTATGCTTGTCTTTCAATTTTTTTTTTTTTTCTTTTGTTTCTTTTGAGACATGTTTCGTTAATAAGTTCTAATTTTGCAAGTCGAACATAGAACAAAAGAAATAAGATAACTCAAAATAAATCAATCGGGTCTTGACTAATCGACAACCACAACCTGACTCTCTCACAAATAAAAATCCATAATAAGATCGATATTTGCAAAACGCAAAGGATCTCATAAGAGCCTTCCTATGGGTTTATGTAGGGGTGTCTATGGGCCGGGCCGGGCCTGGTTAGTATAAACCTAATTCCTTACTTAAGTGAGTTATCGGGCAAGTCGGGCTTTGNTATCAAAACCATAAATAGTTTCACACCATCAAAATTAGTCACTTCATTGTTGTTGATATAAGAAAATAAATAAATTTATAGATTATGTTAAAATATATATTGTTAAAAATTATACCCAATTCATCCCTCCTAATACCCAAACAACAGGGACCTAATAACCCCAGACCCTTGAATTTAATACCTTGGTCATTTTCTAAATAGAATGAAAATAATTGAAAGAGATAAGATAGAAGGGTAGTTATGCTAGCATGTGAAAAGGTTTTAATTGGAGAAAATTTTGATTAAAAAAAGAGTCAAAAATAAAGGAATGTTTCTACCACACAACTCCATT